TGTTCATTCTTGTCCAGTCCACCTCCTCATTGCTTCCAATATGGAGGAAAAACAAGGAAAGCTAGTAAATAATGGAAAACAAGACAAAAGAATTAGTTTTTCCTTCTTTATGTCTTCTGTAAGTCTACTTCTTTTCCTGGTGATGATTGTGCGGAACGAAATCATCTTCAAAGAGTTTGCCTCACAGGAAGCTCGACTGAGCAGTTTACAACAAGACGTTGATCGCTTGTCTGGACTCGTTGCAAGTAAGAACAATTTATTTTTTATCAGTTTTTTTTATCAGTTTTGTATCTCTGATATTTTCTTTCAGTTTAATGGTAGTGAGATRAGTACTAATAACGAAGTGTACGTATTAAAGTGTGTACGAATCGGAAGAATCTTCTGTAAGCTGAAAGTCATGAAGTCAGTGTCTGGATGTCCGGCTATGTGTATCTAATTGTATTCGGTAGTTGATTTTGAGAGCTTTTATAATAATCTGATGATCTGAAAAATTAAAATAACTACGTATCTCAATGGTGTTAATGAGCACCACCAATATAACTACGAGGGAAAATTCCCTCGTATTGCTTTTCATGGTAGGGTCGTGACATTGTACATTGGATCAGTTTCCYGTTTTGGATTAGTAAAAAAATAGGATGTTTAGTTTGGGAACAGAATCTGGTGATTATTGAATTGGGGATCAGACGTGATCGCTTATTTTTTGGATCATGGAACAAATCTGAAGCAAGAATATATAAATAGTGAGATGGCAATATTTTGGCAAAACATGTTACCGGTACGGCGAAAAAACACAATATCTCACTATAGAGATAAATCACAACATCGCATCAGAATAGCGAGGTCATTGTTTCGAATACAGCTGAATCTCAAAATGCTTTCTCGGGTTTTTTTATTCATATATATTTCATTCAGTTAGTTTAGATAGGTTTCTCGCAGGAAATTTCCTGACAATAAAAATATTCAACAATTTTATACAACACTCTTAAAATTCCGTAGTTTTTTCATGATTTTCAAATCCACAAATAGCCRATCCCTAGTTATCAGTCCAGCTCTATATCCAAGGCAGTACAGTAAACAGGAAATGAACTCTAATAATGATAGATTATAAAATTACAGCCCAAATGTTTTACAAATAAGGCTCAAATAATTTTGAGTAATACAATTTGAAGATTTCATAAAAAATCACATGCATTAGAAATTAGTAGTAGTCATTTTCCCTTTTTAGGTACAAATTATTGTTTCTGGACGCGAAGCATTGCACTAGAAATAGACTGGCGCTTGTGATTTGTATCCTCATCATCCTCAGAAAGAGATATCTTGTTTTCATAGGGATACACGTGCACCTGTTACCTCTCTTTGTCTACGGCCTGCAAGGACAAATATAGATCAATGGTTCATTGCGAAATGGACTGAAAATTCTTTTTTATAATGCTAAAAACATAGAGGATTTCTTTTCTTTTTGAATCAAATGWAAATATYAATAGTTCAAATAAGTGACTTTTGSWTTTCTGTTTACTWCTTCAACAGCATTTTCTCTCCGAGAAAAGCACTCTGTTCCAGGTTCCCGACAWCGTCGGCAAATCCAGAAAAAGAATGCTTCACCGATTACGATAAATGACGTGCAACAAGAAGTACGGAGACTGATCAATGTCTACAAAGGACCACAAGGGCCACCTGGAAGAAGAGGTCCTCGTGGAAAGCGAGGGAAAATAGGAAAAAGAGGTATTAGTGTTTTGCTTTCAAAAAGTGACAGCAGAGGTACAMWTATTACATTTAYATCTCCTTTTTTATAAGCATTACCTCAAAACTACCAAAAATGATTGGTATTGTGGCATTGATTAGTATTTTGGTATTTTTGTACAGTACCTTGTCAATTATTAGCTCTAATACTGATTAGCTCTAATACTCAATATTGAAATGTTCCAATTTTCCTCGTTGATTGATTTTACTCATTGGTTAACTTCTTTTATGCAATCAAGTGCTTTTCTTAATATATGGTTTGTCGTTACCAGGGCGTCCGTGGCTCCTTTGTTGACTTGGAGATAGAATTGATGTTATACTGATATTTTTAGGTTCTCCTGGGCCTATTGGCCCTCCTGGCAAACAAGGCAAGCAAGGTATGATTGGATTGCAGGGACCCAGAGGACTCATGGGACCAAAAGGGGATAAAGGAGACRAWGGTGATCYGGGASYTAYTGGRSCTCCTGGYTTGTCAATATCAAAACCTTACGTCAYTGTCACGCCATCAAAATTAACAGTAAATGTTGACCAATCAGCTTCGTTTTTTTGTTCGGCATCCGGAAACCCTAAGCCAATATTGTYATGGAAACGAAACGGTAAATCTATTCCATCCAGATGGGATATGGACAATAATGGACGTCTCGTGATAAAACAAGTTAAGTACRTGGATACAGGTAGCATGACTTGTGTAGCAAAGAATATTTTGGGAACAAATCGTCGAGAAGTCTCCCTTGAGGTCCAAGGTATCTATTCCATTCAACATTCTTTATTTGTTCCTTTTGATACCACTTATCAAATTGATAGCACAAAAAACCTATGGCCTATGTAATATTCTTTCAAGGCCGTAGTAGCCGTGTATCTGTTTGTCATGCACCACTGTTATGAAACAGCATTTAATTTTATCAACTAGGGTCACCGGTTTTTGTCAACGTTCCAAACTCCAAAATATCTGTGGCTCAATACTGCGACGTCGTTATGAATTGCACAGCGGTCGGTTATCCTATTCCTGAGATTACTTGGTCCAGGCCATTCAACTCCTTACCKAGTCGTGCAATAGTGCACAAAAATGGGACATTGGTTCTTAAAAATTACAAKCCACTTGATAGTGGCGCGTACATTTGTAAAGGAAATAGCACGTTTGGTGAAATACAACATGTAACACATCTTTACAGCGACACAGGTAATGAGATGAGATGACACAATAGTCTCCTTCACGGTTACCTCGCCATATTGAAAGGTAGCCGTGCCTTTGCATCGAAGCGAGACAACCGTGAATAGTTGTCTGTAGGTGTGAAAGAAGGTTTCTATCATTGCACGCTCAACGGTTGTCTCGCTTTGATGCAAAGGCACGGCTACCTTTCAAGATGGCGYAGGTAACCGTGAAGGAGACTATTAATTAGTGGAACAKAATTAATTTTTGTCAACGGTAGTGATGATGATAGTGATGATGTTGCTGTTGTCAGTCATGGATGACGGTGGAGATAGTATTAGTAGCGATGGTGGTCATGACGATGAGAATTGGGTGATTTTCACTATAGAACTTAACTCGGCACAGGTAAGCTTCAAGAATCWCTAAGTCAAAGTATGATGAACAAAAAAAGGAAATTGCTCCAAACGTTACTAATYATTCTTAAATATACCATTTTCGCTTTATAATTGTACATATTCATCGAATTTTTTTTCAGAGTTTGAATGCTGGCGAATGAGTCGAGCCCCGTCTACTGGTTTATACTGGAACCATAACGGTCCCACTGATTCAATCAGTATAGCCGTAGATACAGATGTTTACTTGGTTGGCTATCGACTATGGGGGGTACGCACAGGACGTGGTAGTCACACTGTCACCATCACAGTCAGGAACAGTCAAGTACTTGCTTATCATTCAGGCACTTATGTTACAACAGCAACACCGAAAACATTTGAAGTTAGATTTCGTTCACCGGTCAAACTGCTTAAAGGTGTGAAATACTCGTTATTGGCCTTACTCAAAGGTCCGAATGTTCATAGCGGAACTGGTGGACGCTCGTCTGTTGTTTGCGATGGTGTAAAGGTCACCTTCAGTTCTTCTTCATACGACGGCAATGGTTCTAGTGTCAGTGGAGGACAAATCCCAGCATTAATATTTCAAAAAAAATTATCTTGTGACTAACTTTTTTTTTAATTTGATACGATTAGTAACTGCATGCTACATAGACGTGTTGTCCCTCATAGAATAGTTGGCTTGGATTAAAGATATGCTAACTAAACCAGTATAGTAACTCCGATGGAAAATTATGAAATATAGAAGATTTTTCCAGCCATTACAGTTGCCCTACGGCTATGGGTTGTTGTTTTTTTTTCAGCCGGAAATTTTCACCCTGACTATTCGTGGTAATAATGAACGGTGTCTGGGATCATGAGCCTCTATTGCAGATATTGCAAGCTATCTCGCTCCAATCCCAGAGTGATATAACATGGCTTTTTAGATGTGATCCTTAGTGAAGCATCATACTGCATAACATTTTAAATGACTTTATTCAGCGCTACTACCAAGGCATGTTAGCGATGATTTTTAATATTTTACTTAGAGAAATAAAAGGAACTTCGATTATTTTCACTGAAATTTGATAGTAATCCAAAAAAAAAAAAAAATCCAAAACTAGCCCGTAAATTATAAATCCACCCATTCGTTTTGAATTTTGTTACGTTTAAAAAGCTTATGGCAATTTTCAACATTTATGAAAGACACATTACGACCATAATGTGCGTTTAATCAGGTTTTTTTATGAAGTTGGTTTTCATCATAAATTTTGTTGAGTACAAAAAATCACGGACTTCCTGTCTTGTTTGGGAGTCAAAAGAGGGAGAATGGGGGCGAGAGAGGGGAAGCGTGTGACTAAAATCAAAATTCATCATACAATTCTCTCAAAGCAAGCCTTTCTCGTCACTAGTGCCTAACGGCTAATATGACCGTTACAAAGGAAGCACAAGAGAGTGAAAAAGAGTTGCCTGAGGAGGAGGCTAGGATTGACATACACATTATATATTCAATTTCAGTTATTGAAAATACTCCGATTTAGAGTTCTGGTTTGCTCTGTGTCAGGCTCAAAACCAAGCAACATATTCCGGATTTGAAATCTCACACTTTTATTCCCACAATTAGGAATATTTTACGCACAAATGAGGCTAACACAGAGCATTGGAGAATTCGAAACTGGATTATTCTCGGTCTCGTAGCGAAAATAGCTTTGAAACTCATTGACTGTTTGAAAACGTGGAATATTTTTCAAAGAAAATGTCTCGCGTGGCAAGACTTGTTCGATGGGTTCGATGCCCGCAATAGTATATTAGTAGTGTTTGCCGCCACTAAATTGATTATTTCTAATACTTTGATTATTATTAGCTAGTAATAGTTTGAAATAAGGTAGAAATAACTGGAAATAAGGTATAGAAGTAACTGGAATCAAGGTAGAAGTAACTGGATATACAAGGTAGGTGAGGACGCCATAACGATAACTTTACGGATCAAGCATTTATTTACAAGCACATTGTCGAAACGCTTACAAACAAGCAAGCAAGGTTCCTAAGTAATAAATTTACAAATACAATTAACTATACTATATAACATGAAAAACGATATTAAAGACAAGAAAAAGATGAAAATACTTACAAACTGTGCGATGTACTCGATACTACGATATGACGACACTGATTAAAATATTCAAAACGAGCGCTTAAACTGAACAAAATTTGCATGGAACATATAAGGAACAAAGGAAATAAACGAACGTTGACTTAAGCTGACAAATACAATGGCGAACACTACTTAACGAAACAAAGCGAAAAACAAACAAAAAACCACTGTTGGCGCTATGGCGCTAACAGTAGGAGTACTTCCTCTTGTTTCCATCCCAGTTACTGCACCTAATACAATCAGGGATTGGCTGGATACCTTATGAATAATTAATGAGTACGAGAATAGCAGTATGAACTAGGCTTCAGTTAAGATTCACGGATGTATTTTTTGAATCGAAGAGTCACTACAGTTACTTTTACAAGAAAAAAAAAATGGCAGGCAAAAACCCTCTATGCTGAGCTTGAAGGTGAGAGAGAACTCATTATTTATACATACGTCGGCAGTAGACTTGTCAAATTTGCTTGTCTTTGATTGAGTACAATCATGCTTGTAACAAAGTGTAATTATAGTGAAAGTTTAATAAATTTGATTAACCTAAAATGCAGCGAAAAGCGTGCAAAATAGAGTCAAATATTACCCTGCATTCAGGCGCGTAGCGTGGACGTTTTGGCTAGCGCGCACATGTCAGGGACCGCGACACACTTTGGATGTGGGGGTCTAACGAGTCCAGACCTCACACAGGAAATTTTGAAATAATAACTCTTGGAAATGCGATTTCCAGAGTTTTGAGAGACATCGAGGGTATATAAAAGTTATCAATTTTATATCATTTTTTGAGTAATTTATGTGAAACTTTCAATATTTCCTTGCCACTATAGTACGCACGTGCGTTTATGCGTAAAAGACGCTACGCGCCTGGCATTGTTTTATTTTATGTTTATTTGACTATCACACTTTCAACACTAGTCCAATTTTCTTTCACAGGTTTAATTACTTTAATCTAAAGAGAAATAACGCATAGTATGCTAAAGTGTGTATTTCACGAGTTAAAGACAATCACTCCAAACAGTTCAAACACTAAAAACATGTTTAGGAAAATGAAATTCGCATTTTTGAGTACTTAAAATTCCCTTCACTGTTAGCCTCGATCAATGATCCTTTTGCGACCAGATCAACCAGATAGGTCAATCCAGGCGCGTAGCGTGGACGCTAGTAGGGGACCGCAAAACATGTCAGGGACCGCAACACATATTTTGGATCTGGTGGTCTAACGACTTCAAAAGGCGGGAGTATTAAGACCTGAACCTGGTTTCTGGACCTCCACCAGGAAATTTTCAAATAATAACTCTTGGAAATGCGATTTCCAGCGTTTTGAGAGACATCGAGGGCATATAAAAGTTATCAATTTTATATATTGATTTTTTCGGTAATTTATGTGAAACTTTCAATATTTCCTTGCCACTAGTTAGCACGTGCGTATATGCGTAAAGGACGCATAATCGAAACTAATAATAATAATAATAATAATAAATCGTTTGTTTGCCACATTGCAGAATTAACTGAATTAAAGGGCTAAGGATTACAAAAATATATGAATAAATGTATGAACAAGAGTATGTACAGCCTTTTGCAAAAATTATGAGAATTGTCGAAATATCTAAATATCATAATATCGAGTGCATGATGTGTAATCCCGCGCGATGCCCTTAGTCCCTTGTCTTTGTAGTTTAGTTTTTTTTCATGGCGACGGACTTATCCGTAGTTCTGAACATTTTCTCGATGTCAACAATGAATTATTCTAGCAAACCCGCGTGTTCCGGACAATATATGGATATGGATATTATGATATTTAGATATTTCGACAATTCTCATAATTTTTGCAAAAGGCTGTATCATTATGATCTATCTATCTATATATATATACAGTATACAGCTGTTTGCAATAATTCTGACCCCCTCTGCCATATTTCATATATATCAAACTGACCTTAAATATTATGGGATATCATGACTGATATATTTTTTGAGTTGCCCAGAATGAGTACTTTCTCAAAAAAATATCAGCATTGGTATCCCATAATTTCTAAGGCTACTTTGATATATATGAATATTAGTGTAGGGGGGTCAGAATTATTGCAAATAGCTGTACTTATCTATTTATTTACATGTATCTGCTATTAAAGGTGATAAATGAGCTAGAACGCTGGGTCCAGCAACCGGTCTTATCGGCATACATTATGGTTCTAGTTCTACTGCGCGCCGGACCGCAGATTATAGTTATGTTCACAAGTTGAAGATTTTGGTAAAAGAAAATTTATGGGGTGATCGCTAAGAGACATCTTCTGAATATATTTACAACATAGTTGGAATCTCCTTTCTTTAAGGCTGCATATGTTAGTAAAATTGAGGGCATCTAAATAATTATGATATGGATAAATAATATATAAAGCCCTCTTCAGGTATGTCTTGCCAGACTTGAACTCCGTACTCTAAAATTGGTCTTATTGTAGTATTATAAACTTTAAGAATTCCCTCTCCATTGACGCCTACTTTTTTAAGAATCAAAATACATTTAGTACATTTAATACATTTAGCACTCTTCAAAATATGCGTTCAAGTTAAGCCGAAACATATATATATTACAGCGAGAATGTCATAGCCCTCATAATGTTATCAGCAGTAAGTCAAAGTTCGACTTTATGATGAATCATAGAAAACTTCAATATCGCTTGGCATAAAGTATGCGCTGCCTGCAAAGAATGAACAATATGTATACAGCATACAACCGGGGGGAGGCAAGTACGTATGTGGTTTGGTATATGACGCATTATTACTCGACGCTTGATTGGACAAAAACAGGTCATTTCCACCTCCGAATGTTGGTCCTGAAATCAAAACGCGATAATACAATAAATATAATAGGTAATATATAGAAGACATTACATGGACTCGCGGTAATACTAATTTTATCTTCGTGTGTTCAATCGATATCAATTGAACACGAGAAGATAAAATTAGTATTTCCAAGCAGCCATG